TATTTATATTTATTTATATTTATTTATATATATTTATTTATTTACTTATTTGTCTATATCTCCTGTGTGGGGTGATCTATGCGGTAGCGTGCTCTGCAAGTGCAGCTGGTATCGGGGTTTGGGGCTTGGTGATAAGAGCCTTAGGAGAGTGGATGTCGATGGTTCTATGGGTTCTGCTACACTTTTGGTCTTGGGGTCGTTATTTCAGATCAGACTTTTGGTCGTAGGCCGGTGATGGATCAAGTGCACCTGTAAACAGCTCCTCCCCGGAACTGCCATCGGATGCAAACGGCTATTGTTCTTATTGCCGCACTCTGGTTCGCACGTTTTGTTTCCGCGCAATTCTTATCTTGTTTGTGGAGGGGTGTAACCCTTGACCACCCAAGACTCAAGATGGTGATGTTAATTTCACTCCCAACTCCTATTCCATAAGCTTCAAATTCCAAGAGCCCTAAAGCTTCGACCGTTTTGCCCTCGAAAGGGCCCGAGCCCCAAAGCGTTGCCCTGGAGTCGCATCCCAGGTACCTACGTTTGACGTTGGGTTCCCGGACCTTTTCTCAAAATGACTGGGAATGCAGCCTAGAGGAGCTGGGGGTCCAGGACAGGACAGAAGCGGCTCTGAGTTTTAAGTTCTTGTTTCGGGCGTTTTCGGCGTTTTCAAAAGTCTAGGTCTTGTCGGGGATTTAAGGTTGAGGCTTTGGGGCTTTTGGTTCTTCTTGCACACGTTTCAGAAGTTGGGCTTCAGGGTGCAGGATCTTCGGATTCAGGCATTTTGGGAGTGTCAAAAAACAGAGGCTCCTCAAGGTCCCATCTGCATCTTCTTGCCTTTGTCTGGATCCTAAAGATGGCGTGCATCGAGCTTGCATCAGACTCAACGGGCTCGTCTCGCAAGAACCGGGGCGTTCAGAACATAGTTTACCTGCTTCAGTGCGATGATTTGTAGTAAATATCGTGTAAATACATATTCGGCCCCCTACTTTCCGAAATTATCGGTTTTCTGCAGACCCCCATAATATAAACCGGGGCAACCTCCAGCTATCGTTCCAGAGGAGGGCTCCCATCTCATCTGCGTCAAGTCCACGCCGATGAGCGAGGTGCTGGGGTTTGTACTAGCCTTCGAGTGGAATCCTCAGTATGTAAGGACCTGTAATTATGTCCATCACTCATCAAAAGGTGTAGGAGTTTTAGTGCTTGTGTTGGTGTATTTGGTGTCTGTTCCGGGGGCCTGCATCTTGGAGCCTTGCAGTCCCAATCTCAACGACCCCATGGTCGAAGGGTGGATTCTGGAAGTCACATACCCGAGGGAGGCCATGCCTTCGAGTTCTTGGGGGCTGGAATCTTCGGTCTTAGATAGTAGAGGGGCTTTCCGGGCACTTTGAGCTCGTCGTTGACGTGTGAAGATACCCTAAACCCTAGACCCCTAAACCCTAGCTATGGGAAGGTCTTCCCCCTGCCCTCGAGGTTTCTTTGGTTTCTTTGTGGGCGGTACTTGTCCGTTCCTTCTCTTGGCCACATGCTCCTGGTGGTTCCCGATTCAACCACGAACCTCAAAGAAGGAGCAGAAACCTAAACCCTAAACCAACATAAGGGCCAAAAAAACCTGAAACCAGAAAGAGCTTCAAGATGCAGTCCATGACTGAGGCGCTTCCGGCCTCCATCGGCACTCGTGAAATGAGGACAAGCTCATCCAGCGAAGCGTCGAAGGTGCATTACCATGACTACTACCTAGAATGATTACCGTTATGATGAAGATGATTACTATTTCATGAGCCTTGATGCTAGACGGGCTTGGCGGGCGGTAGTCGCAGGCTCATTAGGAAGATCCTTTCAAAAAGCACATGCCCTACAAGCCCCAAAAGCCGCCAGACGACCCAGGTGTCTCTGTACTTTGAGCTTGCAGCTGAAGGCTGGCGGGATTTTCCCTGGCGCGGACCCGTGGACGTGGCATTGCAAGCCACGGTGGGAGACCTCTGGGACCCTCGTGAAGCTTCAGCAAACCCCAACCCCTAAACCCCTACACCAACAAGTAGAAGGGTTCGGGTTGTGGTTGGAATGAACTTGAGACGCACACAAACCTTTGTAGCAGAAGCAAGGCCATGCCAGCAATTTCAACATCCATTTGGGGAGCTAGGTCTCATGGGCAGCCAGAAGCATCCAACTTCCAAGAAGCCCCATAAGTCCCTAGACAGTAGATGCAGCACACAATTCCTGGCGACACGAACTGCAGGAAGATGCTCAGCACATCCTGATGGAAGTCGCAGAAGCTCAACAGCAACTTCGATGATGAAGACGATGATAATGGTGTCCTTGGCAGCTGGCGAGGAAATGAGGACGGTCGTCAACAGCATAGCTATGCTGATGGTGATGGCGGTCACATTGGGGGGGGGCTGCCGATGCGCGTGGTAGAAGACGATAGCGGGGTTGGAAGCGAAACCGCCACATGTTTCAAAATCATAGGGTGGGGGATGACATGTTGATGGTGGTGTCGCGGGCTGCGGTGCTGCCATGGTGTTTGTGATGAGAGTGAGTCTCGCAAACAAATTGACGCTTTTAGATCAAGACCTGCAGCATCAGAGATGATCGGAGCTCATGGTGATGCGAGGTCAAGAGAATGATGATTGTCATGGTTGTGGTGACGTTGATGATGGTTGTTCTATCCCTGCCACTGCTGTGCAGAAGCCGGTCATGGATCGTAATTACCCTTGCAGGGTTCAGGGTAGAGTCTTCAGAGGCTTTAGAGTTTAGTGTGTCGGCTTTGTGGCTTTAGGGCTTTAGGGCTTAGCCTCCCAGGAGACGGCACCTCCGCCACGACCCCACAACCCATATGATCTGCGACAGCGGCTCAGCATGCTCATGCTCGAAGCTCAGACGGCGCAGACGGTTTTTCCTGGTAAGGTGGAAGGTGCTGGAACTCGGATGGAGAAGCTATCATGTTATTGCCCGCTTGTTTCGGGTTTGTAGCTATGAATCCCCAAGGACTCTACGATGGATCCGATAAATGTGCCCTCAAGGTACCCCAAGCTGTAACGGAGCCCCAAACAAAGAGCGCAGGAAACCAATCGGGAGTTCCCAGCCCGAATCTAAGCCGACCTCCTGGAAACAGATTGCTTCCACCGCTCCTGAAGAGCGCGTCACCACAAAAACGAGCTGCAGCAAGAGTGCCACAGCTGAGGTGGGGAACACTATCCTTCAAGCGCTTTCATCCTGCAGAGTGCCTTACCCTCGTGCACTGCCATGGCAGGTCCGCTCAGACTCGAATCGCATGCCCCTGAAAATTTGTACAATCCCCAATCCCCCAAACCCCATCAGCTAAACCCTGATCCCCTCCTAGCTAACCCCAGCAGCGCTTCTTCTACAAGTTCTTCAAAGAAATTGGGATTTTGAATGTCGGAGGCCCGGTTCGACAACCAGCGAAAAAGTCCTGGCAGAGCTGAGATACCCTTCGGGAGACGGACGCTGAGCTTTAATGAAGGCTTTTCTGGAGTTTAGGATTGTAGGGTTTGTGATTTGGGTTTTAGGGTTTCGGTCGAAATAAGAAGTAGCAAGACTATCCCCATGCAGTTCCTTCCATGTAGTTGTGAGCTTAGTTTAATCCGGTGTCATGACATCAGGAAGGCTAGGGAACAGCCGGACGAATCCCAAGATTGAAGGACGGGGACTGCTTCTCGGTCTACTCGGCCATGGACTAGCCGAGTTGCTTCCGGAAGCGGGTGAAAGGCCCAGATTCGGCGCACTTCGACGGCATCTTCCCGCGACTTCTCCTGCCAGGCACAGAAGTGCTGCAGCTCTGTTCCTCGCTCCGGCTGGCTTCCTCTGTGCTGCTGCCTCGCCTTTGCTGCTGTGCACGCTTCGAACAGCTTGTCCACGCTGATGAAGCCCGGCATCGGACAAGAAAGAGCAGGGGGACGCCATGATCTGGCGGCGGGAAAAAGCTGCGGCTTCGCGGTTCAAGAAGCGCTCCCCAAAAAGCTCTGAACCCTGGTCCCTCAACCCTCGCTGGTTGTTGGAGGTACGATCGGCGGCGCTTCGTCGATCACGGCCTGAAGCACGTGGATCTCTATTTCCTCGATGGGAGCTGCCCAGATAAGGAGGCTAGGGCGCAGTCCTCTGCTTATCTGCCAGCTATGGGTCGGTCCACCTTGCTAGCACAAAAGCTATGTAGCTATGTAGCTAGCTGCTAGCTGGCCATCTATCAGTCAATCTATCCTACGCAACGGTGTCATCGACTCTCTTTCTGTGTTCGTTTCAAAGCTCTCGCGCCGATGCGCTGTCAGATCATCTCCAAGTTCCTTTACATCGTCGAGAACGAGCCCAGCGCAGTGGCCGTGCACTGCAAGGCAAGAAGAACGCCCATGGATTGCTGAAAGGAAACATAAGCCTCTGTCCCTTAGTGACTGCTAATCTGCATTGTCCCGCTTGTCTCTACTCCAGAGGCTTGAGCCGGGTTGGGGCCTTTAGGGTGACCCAAGTTACCTTCATCAAACCCTTTGGGACTGGCCCTTACAATGGAGATCAGATCATCCGAGACCTTGCCCCTCAATTGTTCAGGCTGGTCTGGGTCGCACCGGTACCTTGATCGGCCTGTACGTCCGGGCCCGAAGAGAAAGCAGAAGGCTGCACTCCTGGGGTTCAGCAGCATCGTCAGAAGTCACAGGCCTCGTCAGCTGGAACTCCACCCTCAGCGCG